CAGAGATGTGATGCTTTCACTGAGAAGGCAGACTGACCCATAGATGCCCGCACATCTTTTAATCCTGCAGTTCCCACTAGCTCCAGCTCTTGTCCTGATTCCTTCATTTGCATACTTTAAAACAAATTTACAGATTACCTCAGGGGCAAGACCATTAAGGCATTTAAAAATGGCTTTTAAAAATTAGAAATTTATAAAATTTTCAAATGTCATCATATTGTATTTTTTTAATAATTTTGCAGTGATGCCATTTCGGTTTTTGATCGAATATTTTTAATGCTTGCTTATGTCTCAAATTAGAGCGTAGTTTATGTACGCTTGTAATATGGGCATTGAACATGCGTGTTAGGCATCTAGTGTAAATAATTGAACATCCTGTTATATGCTGTTAACTTAAGCGCACACATGCCGCTTTGCTGCAACTAGGTGTTGTAAAGCGTCTGGTATATTTTCCCCTCCATTAAAAGTATCAGACCAAATTGAGTGATCATGCGCTTAGGTTAAATATTTGATGACCTCTTTAGCCAGTCTAATTATTATTCTTGTTTACTTATGGCTGATTTCACTACCAAACCTTTTATTTCAATGCTGCCTTCCAACCTAACAGAGCTTACTCCACCTCCAGCTGTCGTTCACGGTAAACCTGAAGCACACACAAGCATCTGGATGTGCCCAGCTAGCATGTGTTTGTGGTTTTTGTTTGTTTCAGTCTTAATGCAGCATGCCACTGCCCAGAAGAAACCATTTGGATCAAACATTCACCAAGTGCTGGATTTTTTGTTTCCCTAAAGTGGATCTGCCAGTTTGATTTGCTCCATCACTGTTCTTGATTTACTGATAATTATATTTCAGCAGAATGAATTGCATTTTTCTGCAAAAAAAAATTAAAAAAGGAGGAGCAGCTTCCTCCTGCAAATTTTAGAGCAGATACAGCCCCATCAGCGCTTCTTGTAATATTTAATCATTGCTCATTCATTTTGAAGCATGCATCTATTATCTTTGCAACTCCACAACTTGAACATCAGTTTATTTTGTCTGGTGAACATAAGACAGAGTGAAGACTGAACATCAATCAATTCATAGCATGACGCAGCATCTGCATGTGTTAGCATCATCATCAGTGGACCGAGAAATAAATTAAAACTTGCTAATAAATCAACATGGCGATGCATTCTGCTACAATCATCTGATTGTGGTGTTACTGTCAAATGTTCAAAATATAAATATCTGTGTCTCATCCTTTTGTTCTTGTTCTCCCAGGGCGACCCGACCCCCCCACAGACCTGGAGCTGACAGACCATAAAAAGAGAAGCGTTCAGCTAACATGGATCCCTGGGGAGGAACATAACAGTCCTATTCAGGGTATGTGTGTGTCCATGTCTTAACATGTCTTTTACTATCTCTGTCCGTCTTACTCAATCTGCTTTTAATGCTTGATATATGTATTAACTGCTCCCAGCTGATGTTTTTAATAAAGAAAAGATTCATTTATTAGATGAAGTGATGTTAATGAACTGTATCATTAGGGTTTATTAAGAGAAAATGGTGTTTGATTAAACATAAATGTGACTTATTTTCATTTTTGACAAATTACAAGTAAATACTATCATAAAATAAGCATCATATCTTCTGTCCAATCCAATTTGGTTTATTTATGTAGTGCCAATTCACAATAAATGTAATTTCAACATAATTTGCAGTGACAGTTCAATCGAATGCTAAAGAAAAGCTCTATCTGAGGAGACCTAGCTGATTTCATCAAGTCGTTGACATTGCAAATTCTCTCCTCCTGGATGAGGATGTGGCAATGGCAGACACTCACTTGCCTTTTTTGTTGGCTCTGTAGTAATTTCTTGCAACAAGCATCCATGCAGTGACAGTGGAGAGGAAAAAACTCCTTTCTAAACTGGAAGAAAACCTCAAACAGAACCATGTTCAGTGTGAGTGGCCCTCTGCCAAGGCTGACTGAAGTTTGAAAAGGACTGAATTAGATACTCTAAAGGAACACAAAGGCAGTGATCCCTAAATACTTTCTAAGTTGTAAAAGCTAACTGGATCCTTATGTGGCTCTGTCTGGGAA